TCCTGCTGAATAAAATAAGTGATTGGTAGTATATAAACCTTTTTGACTGAATAGCACAACGGACATACAATTTAACCACAATTGTGTTCATTAGAGAAAAAAAAAAAAAGGAATGCAGTGGGTTGGCAATATCATCCAGATCTTTGGTAAAAAAAAGAATGAAGGTTTTATTCCAGGCTAAACACTTATGGAAGCAACCAAAGTAAGCCAATACATCCTGCATTACAACAACCATATGAGCTCCACAGCTTTTAGCTAAATGCAGACATTACTCTGAGTGTCACAGTGAAAAACAAAACCTATAGTTTATTTGGCAGCTGAAGAAAAAGAAAACCTGCAGCGGTGGGATATAGATATTTTTGACTCCTTCCCCTGCTTTCTGATTGATGGCTTTTGCTTTGCTTAAGTTTTTCTAGAAGGGCAACTAAAAAGCCTGATGGCAGTGAGGTTCCTTTTATAGTATTCCAAAGTATAATCATCTACAGGGGGACCAAACTTAGGCTGATTTTATGCAATTATGTTTGGCTCCAACCCAGAGGTGTCTTCAGTTTCACAGTATGTATTCCACATTGTTTCAATAGTCCTTAAAGTGAAAGGGTGGATCTAAGATGACTGGTGATAATTTAAGTAAAATAATGTCTTAAGCTATATGATTTCAGACACATTCTAGTGAAGCAAAAGAAAACAATGATTGTATTACACAGGTTAAAATATTGCCATATAGGAAATAAAATGGTGTCTTTATGTAAGCGTTGATATCCTTGTCTTGCAATACTGTTGAGGTAATCCTCGGTTCTTAGACTACTACAAAGGATCCTTTTCTTCATATGGAAGAACTCATGCCTGCCTCAACTCTATAATATGCAGATGAACTTGAATTTAAAGTGCTCAATTTATGTGATAATTCTCTCTTATCATTTAGAGAGAAGAATTAATCTGAATCGGAAACCCACAATATCAGACAAGGTCAGTGGTATGTAGCTTCAGCTGTGAAGACATTTATATACTTAACAGAAAGTGTGCCACTTACTGTTGATGCAAACTAAACTTAACAGACTTAGAATTAATAATGTACTGTAGATCTTTCCTTACATTAATTAAAAGCAGAGGAAGTCAAGCTATTCTCTAAGGCACCTGAAGGCAGGACGAGAAGCAACAGATGGAAACTGATCAAGGAGAGAAGCAGCCTAGAACTAAGGAGAAACTTCCTGACAGTTAGAACAATTAACCAATGGAACAACCTGTCTCCAGAAGCGGTGAATGCTCCAACACTGGAAGTTTTTAAGAAGAGACTGGACAGCCATTTGTCTGAAATAGTGTAGGGTTCCTGCCTGGGCATGGGGTTGGACTCGATGACCTCCAAGGTCCTTCCAACTTTTTTTTTAAATAATAATAATAATAATAATAATAATAATAATAATAATAATAATAATAATAATAATAATAATTATTTGTTTTATTTTTTTATTTTATTTTATTTTATTTTATTTTATTTTATTTTATTTTATTTTATTTTATTTATTTTATTTTATTTTATTTATTTTATTTTATTTTATTTTATTTTATTTTTTTATTTTACTATTTTATTTTATTTTATTTTATTTTATTTCTGGATTGTTTTTGTTCTGCCAAACTATCATATAGGTCTAGCGTGCTCAAGACTGTGTTTAAGGTTATAGGGCATTTTAAAATACTTCCCTAAATTAAGGAATGCCACCAATAAAGTATAAGCTACCCTATAATTCTAGGTTCTTCTGTAATAGTTTGTTTCTATTCAGATCCTGGTCTAATTTTCTCCCAACCATATCTCCAAATGAATATTAGTAATGATAAAAATATAATGAGCATTTGTAATCATAGATGTGTCTAGATCAGGCATGACAAACTGCCGGCCCATAGGCCGGATGCGTCACGCCGAAACCACGCCCACCCCATTGCCGGCAATGGGAAAAAAGTCGTGTTATGTCGTGCGACGTCACGTGACTCGCGAGTTTGACATGCCTGGTCTAGATTGTCATCATAAGATTATCTATCTCATCTATCAATCATCATCAACCTGTCTGGGATGTTTTTCCTGGTGGGTTTTAGTAGGCCTTTGCTGGCCTAGTTGTGTAACTCCTGTTAGATAGCAATGGGCAATTACTCTAAATGTGTCAGTAAGGCAAGCATTTAAATATTAATCCATTCTGTCTGAATTTTTTTCGTAAAAGCTAAAGTTTTTCTTAGTTTTTATTTTGACAATGGTTAAATGTCCATATAGTTTTGTTTGGCAACATGGAAGTGATTACTTTTCTAGAATAATTGTAAACATTGCAATCAAACATTGCAACAAACACAAAGACACACACACACACACACACACTTCTTTTATGCAACTATGTACAAAAATATTTGATTTAAACCTTACCATGTACGCAACTTTTCAGCAGATATTTCATAAAGGACATGGCAATCAACAATGAATTAAATTTTGGCTGGTCACACCATTTCACTTTGGCATGTTTTATTTTTTTTATCTCAGTCTTTAAAAATTGAAACTGCTCATTGGGGAACTGGATTATAGGGTGTCTGGTTGTACCCCTCCTCCAAGGTTCACTTTTACTACTCACTTTACTCTGAAATGAAGGCTTTGTAAAAGCAAATAGAACAGTTCTCAGTTTGATATATTATAAATGCTCAAGTATTTCGAATTTGTGGATTGATTATACAGGCCATGCTATACAATGCTGTTGTATGCTGTTTTTTTTCTTTATGGCAATAGAAAATTCAGTCGTTTTTCAGATTCTCAACAGTGACCTTAGGGGCATTTCAAATTAGCAATCATGACCATAACAATAATTTAACATATCTTTTTTTCTTTTTCCTATGGCTCAAAAATGTAAGGTGCTAGGCAAAGATTACTATTTCTATCACTAGAATTGCAGTTAATGTTAAATTCTATCTACTGAGGCCAACTGTAACCAAAGGATATGATAAAGAGACTTCACTTCATCTAAAAAAAATTCAGATTTATTTCTAGGCATCCAGAGCTGCTGAGATAATCTGGGTTTTGTTAGAGTTGCTGTGGTTATTTGTCATATTTTGTCCCCCCACCATAGGGTCCATCATTTTTGCCATTGTTAGCATATTTCTTTTGTTGTCTGACAGCTCTCCCCAAATCTCAGATTATGTGGGAGCACTTCAGAAGGAGTTTTGTTCTAAGTCACACACCATGTGACATGATTTAGCATGGCTTCCTGTTCCAATTATGTTGTAAAGAAAGGGAATAAGATATACTATTTATCTGAGGTAGATCCTACCCACTTTTCTGAAAGTGGAAATCAAGTCTATAATTTGAAATAACTTTAAGGCATGTGTTTATATTTTATGTTTGAGTCACAAGAATTGTGTCAAAAGAAACATTCATAGGTTCTGCAATAGATAGGCTATGTTCTTTATAATTCCTGAGGAGATATGTCAAAGCACAGAGGATATGAAAATCTTCAGCAAAATAAATGTTGAATAAAAAGAGACTTCAATCCCACTGGCCTGGGTGAAGAGTAAATTCTTCCGGGTCCTTCAAAACACCAGTAGAGTGAAGGCCATTCAAATCTAATGGAATTCAGCTCATGGATAAAAATGTAAAGATTTCGTTTCAATTTTGGTTTTCCAAAAGCTATTGCTCTGGAATTGTTAATATTGCAGTGTTAAGAGGATCAACAATAACTTCTGAATACTATATTAATTTTCATTTGCATGCATGATCACTCATCTGATTTTGAAATTATTTTTTTTAAAGGGGAGTAAAACAGGTGTTTTTTTTAAAAAAAAGCATATTGAGTTACAAAGGCATAATTAAGTCTGTTTTATGTTCCCATCTAGATAAATGATGGTAAGGAAGCTATAGAGATAAAGAAGGACATCTCAAAAGTTCAAGCAATATAATTTGTTAGATCATACATTTTAATAAATACATCTTAAGGGGTTTGATAATGAGCATTTATATAACATAATATGATCAGAACCTTTGCTTGATTGAAATAAATGTTTCTCTGGACTGTGAAGAGTTTCTCCAGATAAGGCCATCTGTGTATGAGCCTATATTATCAGTGGTTTTTCTTCCACTGTTATCAACTGGTTTCCTTATCTGCCAGAGGAACTAACTCCAGACATAACATTTCTGAGATCATGCAGACTAACAAAGACCTGAATTCATAATTCATAAAGTCAAAGCTGATAAGATTTGAAAGTATGTTTAAGTATGACCATGAGGCTGTACATTCATTACTGTTGGCAGCAATTTTTTCAACTCCTGCTTCCCTGCAGAAATGGTTGATTTGCAACTAGACAACTAGAATATAGCACACAGATTTATTTCTATGGGAGCAGATTCAAGAAACCATATGCTTCAGTTGTCATGTATGAATTACACAGATTTGAATGGATTCATATAATCTTTGCTGGCAGGATGAATAGCACATAATAGTATAAAATAGTCAACTTTGATTTCTTTCATAATCTAAAACAAATTAAATATCTTTTTCTCTGTTGCTCATGTATTCATGACTAGCATTAAACTACTGACTTTAAAAGGCCTACTAAAACCCACCTATAATATCAGAGTGGGAAGATATTTTTAGACTTTGTCCCATCCAATGGTGGCCAGCCAATTGCCTTGATTTGGGGTACAATGCAAGTACTATACAATGGCAGGCTTGGATGCTCAAAAAATGGCAGTCAGGACAAATTAGAACAGCAGTTATATCTGCAATTCATGTGTGAGACCCCCCCCCCAAAAAAAGTGTGGCATGTACTAAAAATACAGCCAAGATGAAGTGAAAGCAAATTGCTAATCAGACATAAGTTGCTTTTCAATAACTGCAATTATTGAAATACTTATGTGCAGATCCTCCTTCTCTTCAACAAGGCCCAGCCCTTGAACCGGCACTTCTGGTTGTGATGGTCTTAGCTCTATGAACACCAAGAACTGGTCTATGTGATATCCAAAGAGCATGAAGATGGAATATTGTGGAAAAAAATGTCAGTGGTATCATTTCTCACTGCAAAATACATTACGACGCCTACATAATATCTTTTCCAATTCAGATATCGAGATGCTCCACATAGCTAGCTATGACTGAAAAAGATCTTTGAGAAAACATAAGCGAATCTATAGTTCTTACAAATATGTGGTTGCTTCTCTGCTTTCTCTTTCTTTAGCTTGTACCACTGCCACATTAATGCACTGTAGCCATTCCTCAGCATTCTTTTCATCTTGGGCCTTGAAGACATATGTTTTATTGTCCGTGAAGATTTCAAAGGCCCGAGGAAGACTGCGATCTCGGCGCTTCTTGGCTACCACTTTGACACTCTGGACTTTACTCAGTTCAATGGGACAATCATCTGGATCATCTTTCTGAAAGAGCGATGGAGAAGGAAACAGAGCTTTATATCTCTTCAGAAAAATGCACTGATAGTTATTGTTAATTCTTTTGCTTAGTCTAAATGCTTTCATCCCAGCTTCACACAGGCAACAAGCTAGTTCAATAGCCACTCAGGCTCCCAGATGTCCACAGCAAAAGATTATGCTAAAATAATGACTCATGTGCAGTGTTGCCATGATTGAAATTCCACCGAAGTGCACTTACTTCCTATACATTCTAGTATTTGCATCATGACATCATGATACACAATGAATCATTTGTCCCCCCCTCATCCTGTCCTCACTATCTACAGACATCTATGCTCTCAAGTGAATCCAAGATGTTTATGTGAAAAAGATAAAGCAATGTCAGTATTCATATTAAACATTAGTTAACATTAGTTTCTGGTAATACTATTTAAACTTCTACATGAGCAAGAACAAAGAAAGACCAATGTATTATGGTACTGAGACTGTTGTGAATATCCAGTTGAGGTCGACCTTCATCCCTGGAATTTAACTGGGCTACTTAGAGGTGGTCATTGCTTATCTCTGAAAGTAAAAATGCTATCTGCGCAGCTTTGAGTTACTAGAATAAAAAGTGCAGTTTTCATCTAATGAATAAATAAAATAGTGGTACTACAGTATAGGCTCAATTTACTATGTATGGAAAAATCTCTAAAATACTTAATTTGTTTCACTGGAACTGATTTTTTTTTTAGGAATTAGTGCTTACTAAGATATCAATATGTATGATTTTTTTCCTCTTTCAGTATTAGTGCATGTTACAATAATCTTCTAAATGAAGCCAGAGATGTAGGATTTGGCCAATTTTCCCACTAGGTTTTAAGTACTTTTAATGCATGTGAAAGAAGCCCATCTGATAATCTTGAACTAAGAAGTGTTCTGTTTGTTCTCATAGTCAGTCTGGCACAGAAACATATTTAGCTGGCTCTGATTCCAGCCACCTGTAATGGTCTGATTGTCATTGAACTCTGTTAAAATAAATAGCAATAGCAATAACAATAGTACTTAGACTTATATACCATTTCATAGTGATTTGCAGCACCCTCTAAGCAGTCTACAGAGTCAGCCTAGCACTTAACAATCTGGGTCCTCATTTTACCGACCTCGGAAGGATGGAAGGCTGAATCAATCTTGAGCCAGTCAGGATCAAACTCCAGACTCTGGGCAGAGTTAGCCTGCAATACTGCATTCTAACCACTGTGCCATCAGTGCTTCATATTCTACCAAATAATTATTGGTAGAGAGGCGAGCAGAGGGAAGAACTGAAGTCCTGTGTTAATTTACCAATGCCTTAATGCGCCACACAATGAATTTTATGTAAGATGGGCATGCTAGTTCTTCTTCCCCTATGGCTGCTCCTGCTATTTTACCAATAGCTCTTGTTCATGCATTAATCCAGCCAACTCTCCTTGTCAGTCATGCTTGCTAGTGCACAAACACAGCTGGGTTAAAAGCTGCAATTTCAGAGAAAACAGAGACATCACCCGTGTCTTTTAGCTGTGCCTGGTGTCTCATTAGCTTTTTCACTAGAGCATCACTGACAAGATTTCATTACACTGGTAACTTCTCTTCCTTTAACCAGTGGTTGTATAAAAGAAAAGAAGAAGGAGCGAGAGGGAGGGAATGCAACTTGCAGTGTTCTATGTTCCAATTTAGACAAAATATACAGAAGTCACCCATTGTGATTTCTGTCGTCCTTCTCCAGCCACCACCACAGGTCATCTGCTTCTCTGACCCTTGCCTACTCTTCCTCTTTTCCCAATACAGCCATAGAAGATTGAAGTCGAACTACTAGTGGGATATCTCTTTCCTCACTTGCCATCCTCTAGCTGTAGCTTATTTTCCTTAGTCTTTTATGCCAATTCATTCAGAAGACTCCCAGCAACTTACAATAGTGTACACACCAATCAGGTTAAGTAATATAAGCCAATGGAATGTCACCTGTTCCTATTCCATCACACCAATGGCCTGTAAAATCCTGTAAAAAAAGTCAGGTCTTCAAGGCTCTTTAAAAATTTGGAGCAATTCTTCTATCTGGGGATTTCTATCCCAGAATAGGGAACCCATCACCGAGAAGACTCAGCATCAGGGTCAATGAAGATGATATTCTTTCAGTGGTAAGACTCTATTTTGCCTTACTGATCGAACTGGATGGGCAGGTTCTACCCAGTATCAGTGATATTGGAGATGACCAGACTTTATGCCATATAGGGCCTAAAATGTAACAAAAGCACATTAAATTGCAACCAGATGCTAACTGGCAGCCAATGGAGCTCCCAAAATAGAGGGCAAAGCTAGGCATGCCCTTAAAAACATGAGCTGTCACATGCTGAAGCAGCTGCTTTACAGAAGGTGAGAGCAAATGATAATGCAAATTTTATGAGAGAGGCTACTTAGGAATATAGCTACTGTTCATTCTACAGAAGCCAATATATTACAGCAGGGCTTTTCAACCAGTGGTACGGGTACCACCTGTGGTACATTGGCACCTGGCAGGAGGTACACGACCATCCTAGAAAAGTAGTGGGGGAGGGGAATGAGCTGAACCGGTGGCAGCACCGCACAAGCCTGAGCGAGACGGCTGGAGCTGCAGGGCTGTCAGGGCTCAGCAGAAGCGCCAGGATCAGTGCCGCTTTCCAGCTGATCGACGCATCGGGGCTGTCAGGGCTCAGTGGAAGTGCCAGGATCAGTGCCAGGCTCCAGCTGGATCCTGGTGCTTCTGCTGAGCCCAGAAGAAGCACCGATCAGCTGGAATGTTGCAGCATCTCCAGGGTCTTGTGATTTACATTCAGATGTTTGACAACTCATTCATATTTATGACGGTCACAGTGTCCCAGGGGTCATGTGAAGTGATCAAAATCTGCTGCAACCACCCAGCAGACGGGGGGAATAAAAAGCAAACACCTCCCACCCCACCCCCGCTGCCAATCCTCAACAGAAATGCTCACAACAGTGAAAACCTTGGACAGGAGGAAGAGCACTGCTGGGTTGGCAGGTGTTTTGCTCGGCTGTGGCTTGGGGGGCACTTTTTTCAGTGCCATTGTAACTTCGAACAGCCACTAAGCGAACTGTTGTCAGTCGAGGACTACTTGTACTTTATCACTTTTTTCCTTTTGTTTTTTGGTCATCAGGTTTTTGACACCTTGCTAGACGGCTGGTGGTACTCGGATATTGCCATATCCTAAAAGTGGTACAATGGGTGAAAAGGTTGAAAAGCCCTGTGTTAGAGGAAGTAGCTTCTGCATATAGCATCATAGCGCAGAGCTCTGTCCATTGAGGACTACTGACTCTTTTTTTAAATAAAATGTCTGGATGCCATTACAAAAATGGCTGCTGCCGAGTGCACACATTCACAAAATGATTGCCACAGTGGACGTGTCCCAATCGCTCAATGTATAGAAAAACTAAACAGGAGAGGCTGAAAGGCGAAACATTTGACCCAAAACTAAAATATAAGACCAAAGAGTGTCTTAAACTTTAAAAGACAAGCTGCTTTTTTTGAACCCACACTTTTAAACCCCAATAGAATCATAACACATGAAAAAGCAGATTAATGAAGTCTCTTCATGTTACCTGAATCAGAAACCATAGGAGCAACTGTTAAAATGATATATTTTATAATTTATAAATAAATGAACTATAATAAATAGTACAGCTGCAGAAGATGGTAATGCACATATTTGGGAACAAGGTAATTTTTATGGCCTTAATATTCTAAACTCATAAATTCACCTTTTTGATTAGGTAATACCAACTGAATATATGTCAGCACGTTACATATACCTTTTAACTGGTGGGATGCAAGCCATCATATATTGACTTGCAAGCTAGACTCTTAAAAATCTATCTTGGCTAGAAAAAATGAGCATGTACACTTGGCTTAAGATTGGGTTTTGCTTGTAGTATTTTGCCCTAAATATGCCAAAACTGAACAGTTTTGCCCTTACCATTCATGGCAGAGCTACTGCTAAGACTGGCAACCCAGATTATCCTTACTCTTTTAAAAAATGGTTCTGGAAAACAAAGCAGTGTAAAATTTTAAGGGCCAATTCGATGCATAGCTGTAAAACAATACTGATGGATGGATAGATTTCACTTAGGAATATTCTTATCTCTTAAATTTGTAGTTCATGCTAAAGAATCATCACCATTTTTCAGAGTTGGAAAGTGCAGGAAGTTTTTAAAAAGCATTATTTTCCTCTTCAACTTACAGATTTTCCTTTCTGAAAGAGAAGTTGATTGCCAGCAAGTGTAAAATAGCGAGTCTTCCATCGTTTAATGAATTTCCATCGAATTTGCTTTTCTTTCAACCTGCCTTCAATCAGTGGCTGGCCATCTTGATTCATAACTGTGGATATTTAAAAATATTACTGAATGCCCTATTTCAGAAATAAGTTGTTTTCCCTCCCGCATGGCATCTTTGTAATCCATAGACTCAATTTCCCCTTAATAATAATCACAATAATCACAAAGAAATTGTTCCTGTTTCTAAAAAAAAGAAAGAAAAAAGTCAAGTCATGAGTATGTTTTCATCATTTTTTTAATAAAGTTTATGACAACTCTGGAGACAAGTTGTAATAAATTCCTCTTCTGTTTACACTTACTGATTGCCATTCCTCTCTCGATAAGGGAATAGAGAAGAAATACTGGGAATTGGTTTGGACATGTAGATATGTACATTTGCTTAATTTACTCTAGTATTTCTGAGTTTTTATATTTAAAGGAAGTAATTCTAAGAAGTGGGTAAAATTCCTACTTTTATTTTCTTTACTTTGGCAAACACTGATTGTTTCCAGCCAATCTTGTGCAAGAACAGATAGAGAGGGAGGTTTTGCAGCAGGACATACTGTTGAATTTAGTCAGAGCTTTGAAAAGAGATTCATTGTAATGAGGTCCAAGGGCATTTTCTTGGGTAGTGCTTACTATTCTTCTGAGAATGTTAGTATGTCACAAAGAACTGAGGAAGCCCCAGAGTTCTTTTTTTTTTTTTTTTAACTTTCAGGGTGCACAGTTAGATAAATGCAAGGATGGGTAGTGATGCTGTCTTCAAAAGCTAGATAAGATGCCAGAAAATATGTGGGATTAATTAAAGTAGAAAAGTTTAAAGGTCAAAAGGTACTAGTATTCTAAATATTTCTTTTTGAAGGAATTCTTATTTTCTTTGCAATTAAGCTGTCTAAACATGTAGGGTTTTGTACAGTAACCTTGTAACCTCTCTGTTGGGGAACTTCATTTCTTAAATGAAAACAGTCTTTTTTATAGGATTTCAGACACCAGGTGAAGCCTTTGGTTCAGAGCTATAAGCTATAAGCTTCCTGTCTGAATATTAAAATTACTGGCACTACATGTTATTACACAGATAAAAGCAAAAAAACTATGTCCAGGTATGTTCATTTAACAAAGTAATATATTGTTGATAGGGATACATAAGCTTCTGATTATACAAACCAAAGTCACATACCTTAAACACAATATGTAAAAACAAACCAACTTAACAATGTCACTCACTCTGAATTGTCATGACAGTGAGCCCTAACAAGGTATCAAGACATTTTAACTGTCGGAATGTATTATTTATTTGGTGGCCAGGGCAATTTTTGTCACTTGGAAAATTACCTACAGTAATGTCAAATAAGTGCATAGTTATAGCTATATAGACATATTCTTATCAAATTGCAATTGAATTTAGAAACTGTAATATCAGATAAACAAAAAAAAATCTTGACTCACACTTCACTCTGGAACATCATCCTGTAATTTTCTTGGCAAACGAAAATTGTACTTGGCACAAATAGAGTAGTAGTTTACTACTTCCAATAGTTTACTAGGATTTTTTTAAATTTCCCAGCCTAACACACAGTTCTAAGATTTCCTAGTAGTGTCTTATCCAAATAATAAACAGAATTAATTCTGTTTAGCTTCTAAGTACAGAGAAGGCTGGCCAGGTTACATCCAGAAGTGCTGTTGTCAATGCTTGCTTTGAGATGTTTTTCAACTTCCTGATCTAGTTTAGAGTACAGGGATGTTCTGATGACCTCCATCCAGGTCCAGCACGGCTTAGCTGGATCAAGAACAACCAGGCTTCCTACCCATTATTTGCTCAAGCAAGAAGGAGTCTTCAGTTAATGTAGATTCTGGAGCAGCAGTCTTTACAAGTGCCAACATCTGATCATGGAGATGACTTGGGCATGCTCTGTCATAAGATTTGGCCAACTTGTTCGTTTTTTAAAATTTAATTTTGGAGATTCCATCTACCAGTGCTGTAACCAATGTAATGCCTATACTTACTGCGTTGCCAACCCTGGAATAATTTCTGGTTATATTTATTTCATACCAGTGGAAGATTTCCTTCTAGGCCAGTTACAATTTGAAGGATATTTTAATTGAAACTTAAACAGGGGTGTCCACAAGCTGCATGTGATCAAAAAAGTCAATATGTGATAGTAATTGTGCAATTGATGTTCCATTTCCAAGATGCCCATCAGAAAGGAGTGGGGCATCAACTCTTCAATCACAGTTGCCATGTTGATCTTTTAAAAATTCCTTTCTCTTCTTGGATATCCTTGAGCAGAAAGGAAGAATTAACCACACTTATGAACTAGAATTCTCACTGTACTGGTCCTTTTAACGGCTGTTATTTAGGAAAATGTACAAGCAGTCCAGTTCATTTGGTAACCGTTTGAAATTTCAACGGCACTAAAAAAGTGACATGACCATTTTCACACTTACAACCATTGCGGCATCCCCGTGGTCATGTGATCAAAATTCAGATGCTTGGCAACTGACTCATATTTATGACGGTTGCAGTGTCACCTTTTGCAACCAGGATCACCTTTTGCAACCTTCTGACAAGCAAAATCAGTGGGGAAGCCAGATTCACTTAACAACCACGTTACTAACTTAACAACTGCAGCAATTCACTTCACAATCATGGCAAGAAAGGTCATAAAATGGGTCAAAACTCACTTAACAAATGTCTCACTTAGCAACATAGTTTAGTTTTAGTTTAGTTTTATTAAATTTATACCCCGCCCTTCTCCCGGAGGACTCAGGGTGGCTTACAGCCAGTTTAAAAACAATAATACAATACAATACAAAATTTAAAAGTGATTAAAAATAAATATTTAACTAGGCCGCTTCTACTCAAAATTTTGTTAAAACCAATTTAAAATACCCCTAGGCCAGTCCTGCCCGCTGAAATAACCAAGTCTTGAGGGCGCGGCGGAAGGAGGGGAGATCCGGAATCACCCGGATCTCTGGGGGCAGCTCGTTCCAGAGGGTGGGTGCTCCGACAGAGAAGGCTCTCCCCCTGGGGGTCGCCAGCCGACACTGTCTGGTTGACGG